CAATAGTGCAGACCATATTTACAAGTATATCTCAAGTATCTGAGTAATCTTACAATTCCTTTCCAGTGTTCATCTCCTGGATTACTTGTGTATCTACTCAGTTTACTCACAGCAAAGGCGATGTCTGGTCTAGTACAATTCATTAGATACATCAGACTCCATATCACCCTTGAATATTCGACTTGAGAAACACTTTCTCCTTTATTTTTTGACAGATGTTGACTTGTATCTATCGAGGTCCTAGCCTGAGTCAAATCATCCTTATTAAATTTTTCAAGGATTTTCTCCACATAATGTGCCTGACTCAGAACAATTCCTTGTGATGTTCTATGAATTTCAATTCCAAGAATCACATCAGCTAGACCCATATCTTTCATGTCAAATCTAGAATTTAACATATCTTTTGTGGATTTAATAATTTTATCATTGCTTCCAACAATAAGCATGTCATCTACGTAAAGACATAGGATTACATAACCCTTTTCTGTGTCTTTAACATAGATACATTTATTACATTCATTAATTTTAAATCCACTTTGAACCATGACATTATCAAACTTTTCATGCCATTGTTTTGGAGCTTGTTTTAAGCCATACAAAGACTTAACCAATTTACAAACTTTATTCTCTTGCCCGGGAGCAGAGAACCCTTCAGGTTGCTCCATATAAATCTCTTCTTCTAAATCTCCATTTAGAAAAGCTGTTTTTACATCCATTTGATGTATTTCAAGGTTTCATAAAGCTGCAATTGCAATAATTACCCTGATGGATGTTATCCTCGTTACCGGAGAATATGTATCAAAGTAATCAAGGTCTTCTTTTTGCTTATAACCTTTAATTATAAGTCTAGCCTTATACTTATCAATTGTTCCATCAGGTTTCATTTTCCTTTCGAAAATCTACCTGTAGCCCAATGGTTTACTTCCAGGAGGAATGTCCACTAGCTCCCATGTGTGATTTTGCAAAATGGAATCCATTTCACTTTGGATTGCTTATTTCCAAAGAGGTCCTTCAGTAGAATTTACAGCTTCTGAAAACGTTTGTGGTTCACTTTCAACCATATAGGTTAGAAAATCTGGACCAAAAGATTTTTCTATCCTACCTCTTTTACTTTTCCGAGGTTCTACCTCAGCATATCCATCTTGATCTTTTTTCATTATTTCCAAATTTCTTTTAGTGGAACTAGAATCCACTTCAGACTTACGTGGAAATACGTGCTCAAAAAATGAAGCATTTCTAGATTCAAGTATCGTGTTCTTATGAATTTCCTCAATTTTAGATTCATGTACAAGAAAACGATAAGCACTACTGTTGTGTGCATATCCAATAAATATGCAATCAACAGTTTTTGGTCCAATCTTTATTTTCTTTGGCGTAGGTATTGCTACCTTTGCCAGACACCCCTACACTCGCAAGTATTTGTAGGATGGTGGTCTTCCATGCCATAATTCATATGGTCTTTTATCTATCTTTTTGCGGGGAACCTTATTTAAAAGGTAATTTGCTGACAACACAGCTTCCCCCCACATGTTCTGTGGAAGTCCAGAACTTAACAACATTGAATTCATCATTTCTTTCAAAGTACGATTTTTTCTTTCTGCAATCCCATTTTGTTGCGGTGAATAAGGTGATGTCATTTCATGTCTTATCCCATGTTGGGCACAAAATTCAGCAAAAGGTGACTCATATTCACCTCCTCTGTCACTTCTTATCACCTTAATCTCTTTATTTAACTGATTTTCAACTTCATTTTTATAGAGAATGAATTTCTCTATCGCTTCATCCTTACTTTTGAAAAGATACACATAACAAAATTTAGTGCTATCATCTACAAAAGTAATGAAATATTTATTTCCACCACGTGTCGTGACAACTTTTAAATCACATACATCAGTGTGAATTAAATCAAGTGGTTCACTATTTCTTTCAATAGTTTGAAACGGTAATCGTGTCAATTTTGCTCCAACACAAGTTTCACACTTATGATTTGAATCAATATAGAACATAGGTATGCTTTTCAATTTTATTAACCTGCGCAGGGTATTGTAATTGACATGTCCCAGTCTACCATGCCACACAATGGAAGACTCAAGCATATAAACGGAAGAATTAACATTTTTATTTATTGTCATCACATTGAGCTTAAAAAGCCCATTACATTCATAATCCTTCCCTACAAATGCTCTATTTTTAGTCAAAATGACCTTATCAGATTCAAACACTACACGAAAACCATGTTTGATCAACAAAGAACCAGACACTAGGTTCTTACGAATTTCTGGTACATAAAGAACATTATTAAGAGTCAACTCTTTTGCAGATGTCATCTTCAGTACCACTTTTCCCACTCCTTTGATATCAGATGTGGCAGAATTTCCCATGAAGAGTTTTTCTCCATCCATCGTCTCGTCAAGGACATTAAACAATTCCTTGTTTGAGCAAACATGACAGGTAGCACCCGTGTCAATCCACCATTCATGTGGATTTGAGCCCACCAGATTCACCTCGGATATCACTGCGGCGAGGTGCATCTCATCAACATCTTTGGCCAGATTTTCCACCATGTGGGCTTCTTGAGTTTTCTTTGGCAACCTGCAATCAGATGCCTTATGGCCATGTTTATTACAATTATAACAATTTCTAGAAAATGTTTTCTTGAAAATTTGTTTCCTTGGCCCCATTATTGCCTTTCCATTATTGCCAGCTTTTTTCATATTATATTTGTTTGAGCTTTCGCCATGCTCAACAACATTAGCCTTGGCAAAATTAGGATTAACCATTTTGTTGTCATAGTCCTTGTTGTCTTCTTCAATTCGAAGTCTAACAACGAGCTCTTCAACGGTCATCTCTTTTTTCTTATGTAATAAATAATTTTTGAAATCTTTCCAGCTCGGTGGTAGCTTTGCAATTATGGCAGCCACCTGGAAAGTTTCATTCACAACCATTCCCTCGGAATGAATATCATGCAAGATTATTTGAAGCTCTTGCACTTGAATGATTACAGTCTTCGAGTCAACCATCTTGTAGTCCAGAAATCGGCCTACAAGAAATTTCTTGGCCCCAGCGTCTTCAGTTTTATATTTTTTTATCCAAAGACTCCCACAACTCTTTTGCTGTTTTGATAGAACTGTACACGTTGTACAGTGTATCAGCCAAGCAGTTCATCACATAATTTCTACACAAGAAATCCGAGTGATTCCATGCATCAAGCGCACCAACCGCTTGAAATCCAGATTTTCCCCCAACTTTGGTGGATTTTCCGTCAAGAACCTCGCAAGGTTCAACGTAGTGAGATAAAACAGTATCTTTTGCTGCCAACGCTTGAAATTCAAGCCATTAAATTTTTCCGGTTTATCAGCATGATTTACCGGAACAGAAGAAGAAATAGAAATTGTAGTAGCACCACCGGTATTAGCAACACCAATAGTGTTTTGTTCAGCAGCCATCTTTAATCGGAATCTGTTTTAAGATTGTAGGGAATTTTAACGAGAAAATGAAAATAAGATGGCTTAAATATATAACACCGAGGCCTGTGAGAACACAGTGTCCTTAAAACAGATTCGCCCCGTATGAGCGTCTGTTTCCCAGGATACAACGGAA